TTACAAAACAAAGCGTCTCCACAAGAGAAAACTCTGTGGAAAGCAAGGGGAGCCACGGAGACGGACGGACTTTAGAGAGGACCTGATGGTAGGCCTATCCTACCCCCAGGACTGAGACAGACAGCAATGGAGGAGGCACATGGAGTAGAACATGTAGATGTAGCACAAATGCTAAGAAATCTTGACCATTGGTGGCACCCTTTTCTCAAAGACATGGCTCAGTACCTGACTAAGACATGTGAACAATGTACCAAATTTAACACCAGACCTACCATCAGACCAGAACCAGGAAGGTATCCATTGGAAACAAAACCAGGAAAAGAGATCATCATTGACTACACAGACATGGTAGATTCGGTTCGAGGGTACAGGTACGTTTTGATGTGTGTAGATGCGTACACAGGGTGGCCAGAAGCCTGGCCTACGAAGAAAGAGGATGGTAAGTCGGTAATAAAATTCCTGGTAAACCACTATATACCAAGGTATGGATTCCCAGAAAAAATAAGATCAGACAATGGGACTCATTTTAAGAACAATGAACTCCAACAGGTGGAGGCGATATTGGGACTACGCTCTTTTGGTACAGTCTATCATCCTCAGTCACAGGGCAAAGTTGAAAGAATGAATCAAACGGTAAAAAACAAATTAGCTAAAATCTGTGCACAGACCAAAATGAATTGGCTAGACGCCCTACCGTTAGCCTTAATGTCAATAAGAAGTTCGGTCAACCACTCCACAGGGTTCACACCACATGAGTTACAAACAGGGAGAGCGTTTTCCGGCCCACATTCCAAACTCCCTCTCACCCAAAATGATGATCAAGATCTAACTTCTAAAGCTTATTTCCACGAACTGCAGGGTTTGGTGTCTACATTTTCAAAACAGGTGAAGGACCAGCAGACCGCAGGAAAAGGCACAACACCTCCAGAGGCAGAGTGGGTTCTGCTCCGAGTCATCAAAAGAAAGTGGTCGGAACCACGCTGGACAGGTCCATTCCAGGTAACTGAAAGAACAACCCACGCAGTACGCCTGAAAGGAAAAGGAGACACTTGGTTTCATTGGAGCCAGTGTGCAGCAGCTCAGGAACCACAACGCTCCCTGATCGACATTCAGAGAAACCTCCAAGAACAGAACACAGAGTCGGCTGACTCGGAGACAGATCCTACCGACAAAGGGGCAGAATAATCCCCTGGTAGTGATCCAAGACTCCAGGGTAGTCCACCCCTGGAGTCCGAAGAGAAGAACTCCATCCGGGAGGAGGTGAAATAGCGCTCCTCTCCTACAAGTAGTGTGCCAAGCTACCACCTCAAGAAAGAAGACATCTCCCAGATGAACCTTATCAAATTAACATTGTGTATTGCATGCTGGTTTATTTTTCTTGTCATTTTTGCATGGGCCTTGTGTAAACTAGCTATCACAGGGACAACGCGCTTTTAAAGAATATAAGAACGCAAAACCATATTCATGCTACCGCTTAAGTATGAGGCCTTATTCATATTTTCACTAATAATCATCGTTTATGCAATTCTATGGTTCTACTGCGATCTCCCCACTCAGAGTTGTAATATATAACATAGCCACGGAACCCGAGGAGCTCGAACACTATCAGCTCGAAAATCTAGAAGCATACTTCTATGGTAATGTTGAACTCTGAAGAGAGTTCAAAAGGGGGAATTGTGGATGAAATGTATTCATGTGTTCGTATTTTATAGAAGTATGCAACATATATAATCATGTTTTAAAAAGATCATAAGAGATGTGCTAAAACATATAACCAGCTTGAACATAAAATGCTGCTTAAAGCTAGAACTGAAAACATGCAGATGTAGAGAAGGAGCTGCGAGGTTGAGATAAAACCAAGGTTGGTTGTGAAAAGAGGAGTACTTGGTGTGATGGGAAACAGAAACTTTTAGAATACAATGTGACAATGGCTGGATTCATAGTTAGAACACAAGGCCCCAACAACAGCACCTGGGCACGATAAGAACGGGATGAGAAACTAACGGTGTAGATACAGTTGCCAAAAAGAATGTATGACTGTGTGCAGAACAAATGAAGTCTGTATTGCTTGATATGTACCACCCCTGGATATGTGTGTCAATAAAACGAGCCTGAGTTGGTGGAGAGAGCAGGATTCAGCAGTCAACCCCCTGACTCTCCGCTGGACCCTCCCTGTGCACAGGCGAACTCGAGCAACTGAGAAACCAACGGTGTAGATGTAGTGGCCAAAAAGAATGTATGTGTGTGTGTAGAACAAATGAAGTCTGTATCGCTTGATATGTACCACCCCTGGATATGTGTGTCAATAAAACGAGCCTGAGTTTGTGGAGAGAGCAGAATTCAGCAGTCGATCCTCTGACTCGCCGCTGGATCCTCCCTGTGCACAGTTGAACTCGAGCAACGACTTTTGTCTTTTCTTTATACTTTGTGAAAGTTCTTCTTGATAGTGTCGAAGTTGATCAACGAATCCGAAACCTTACCACGACAGTAGGAAATATCTTACCAATCAATTCGTGTCATTTTTAAAGAGCTCCGTGTTATTCGGTCGAAATTACAGCAAAATCCTACCAACGAATACAACGGTTAGACAACCGTTATAGCAATAAAAGCTTGCTATAACATTTTATCGGTTAAATAAATAACCAATGGAAGGTTATATTTAGCCCTAGTGATTAGCATCTTAAAATAGAATTCAATCTATCATTTTTAATTTTTTGTTTCTTTAAATGTAATTGCTCAGGATCTACCAGCAATTTTCTATGTACATGTACAATCAAACTATTTTTTAATGGAGTAAAAAAATACATATTTTTTAACTGGTTTTGGAAAAAAGTATAATCTAATCAATAGTAAAACGTAATTTTTCATGCAAACTGTTAATCTAATCTGACATTTTAGTTAAGCCTGTTTATAACCAATACCTTATTGATTTGACACATCATCACAGGAGATAAACATGGCATTTTGAGAAAATTATGTGTTTTTGGCAGAAATCCATTATGTGGTACTGTTTGGGTTAATAATGTTTTTTTATAAGGTACTCAGGGATGACTGGGGAAAAACTATGGTAATACTTCATGAAAATTGATTTTCATTAAGTATTACTATACAAAAAAAAATTCAGCCCACTTTTTTTTAAATTCTCCAACTGCATAATGGCAGTTTTGTATTCCTCTAAATAAAAATTGCAGTGTCAAATAACTGTTCATAAAAGCTGTTAAAAACTTTTTTGATAGATCTGATTTCACTTACAACAACAAACCTCTTAAAAATTGTGTTTTGTGTTTTTTAGTCTTTTCCTCAAAGGCATCTAACATTAGAAAAGTTGATTAGCATAAATATATATTTTTAATCAATACTGTAAAATAATTGTTATTTTCAAAGTTGCATTTCAATGAAATGACAGATGTGTGACCGTGTAAAACATGTTGCTGGACATATTTTAATGACCATTAAATGGGCAACGGTGCTACAACCCACACTGACCAAACAAGCATCATTACAGCTTCAAACCTGTTTCTGTGGCTTTAAGAAAACACCATCTGTACATATGGCTGGCACAGGATCAAACATACAGCCTACTGCAGTGTGTATGACATTCAGGCGGCTCATCAGTAGAAAACACAGCGAGTGTGATGTATGGGAATGTGTGCCATCTCTCTGTGATGTTGCTTGGCGTAAGGCCACAGGTAGAAGTCGATGACAGCAGAGGTGATGTTACAACTCTGTCCGTCCTTCTCCTGTACCAGTTTGCACAGTCGCTTTCTGATCAACTCTACGCTCCAAATGGAACAACCTCTGATCTCCACCTCTCTCCTGTCTCCTGAACACAGCAGCTCACCTGAAAAAAACAGAGACATTAAACCCATACAAGATTATTTTTTAAGGCAAACACACACTCTTTTGTCTTACCTTTCTTCAGGGTCTGCATCAGGGTGTCAGAGTACCGTAGTACTCCAAGATAGACCAGAGCTTGTGGGACCCTGTAGTCAGCAAACATAGTCAGCCAGTCCATGTTAGTGATGTCTCCCTTTCCTCGAGCCTTCATCACTCCCCAGAAATCTGCCACCAGGATCTGAGCTCTCTTGTGGAAGGAGATTCTCTTCCCCTGAAAGAGACACAAGACAATGTCTCAACAAGTATCATTAGCAATAATAAAAAAAAAAATATTGCCACTCGGTCCTCGGCCAGGAGATGGAACCCTCACATTATTATTATCTATACATGAATTAGTTTTTGACAGAGTTCAAGTGATTAAAAATATTTTCTCTCTTTGTAAACATCCCATAAGAAAAATAAGTTCTGATCTAATTCGGTAAGATAAGAGAATCAAGAGAAGACATTGAGTGTTTTCACAGACCAAATTAAATACAGTATATTCTACAGACAAGTTCAGTCAAAAATATTTTCTGGGCACCACCTGGACAGCCACGTCACTGACGTTTCCTGCCAACACACTCTGTTTAGATGATGCAGCTGTGAATTACACTGATGTCCAGTTGTAATTACTCCTCTACTCACACCAAACTGTCTATTCCCCCCGCTCAATATGATGTGATTTAGAATAAAGAAAAAGCTAAAAACAAACGGGAAAAGGCTGTAGGATTGTGTTCAATTATATTATCCAGTGTGAATAAACCTCACACAAAGATTTTCACTGCACACACATAATTATATCAATATAAACTTTCTGTTTCTGTACCAGGAATATACAGACAAAAAATGTGTTACATTCTGGAGTGCTGATTAATCTTATTTAATTGTGATTATTCATGACTCACTGCAATCATAGTTACAACCTTGGGTTTATGAGGTTAATCTACAGCTAGTCTGTGATTAGTCAAATTACATATTTGAATCTCATAATTTATATTCATATAAACATATATATATATACATACATGTATAAATATATGCATGGATATAAATAAGAACAGTCAATATATACATACATAGCTATATAAACATGTATGAATCTGACTTTTACCATACTTCACTAAATTTGTTGATGTTAAATAAAAAAAAATGAAAAAAAAATTCCAGCATTTTTCTGTAAAAACGTAATTGACAAACCCATGGTTTTATTTACATATTTGTTTTTTATCTCCATTTGTAAACTCAAATCATTTCCCTGTGGTGTATGAAAGTGTAAAACAAGTTAGTGAAAACTAACCTGATAGGTGGTTTCATCCCTGTAAGATGGAATCTTCTGCACAATGAGCTCCACCATTTTCCGGGCGTCCTTCCCAGCTTGGCTGATAAAACTACGAAAACTTCCGCCATGTTCTAGCAACACACAGCCACCTTCCGTCAGCACCTTGTCAGGCATATTGAGTTTTACATTAGACAACAGTGAGGAGTGTGAGAGAAGGCAGCCGTGTTCTTGCAACATGAAAGAAACAGGTATAACACTGATAGATAGGTGTTTTCACAGCAACTGACACTTGGAGATGTTTGGAGCAGGATAAATGTATCTTCTTGACAATGTTAACAGTAGACTTCATCATCATCTAGCTTCATCTTAAGAGATGACAGTGTGACAGGGAGCGTCGGTCTGAATCTGAAGCTAACCATTTTATGACATTTGAACCTATGTTTTTTTTGCACATTAAATTTTCTTTTGTCGTTTGCATAATGTAAATACTAAATTGTTACTAGGTCAGGGGTCTCAAACTAATTTTCACCGAGGGCCACATCAGCAATATAGTTCCCCGTGAAGAGCCAGTTGTAAATGGAAAACTGTATAGATCAGGGGTCCTCAACCCCTTGTCCGTGGACCAGTACTGGTTCATAGGTCATTTGGTACTGGGCCACAGTGAGACACAGTGAAAAAAATGTACTTAATTCTACTAATTTTACTTAATTCAAAGAAAATCCACTATATTCATTTACTTTGTTTATTTAAAGATAATCTGGCATCATTTTAAAATAAGAGGTCATTCAGACTCAAACACAATAGAGCCTAAAAGATGTTTTATTTTTAACATTTAATAATCCTTCGATGCTCAGCACCTTGGTACTGGTCTGTAGTAACGGGTGGTACTGCCTGACCAGTCCTTGGAACAAAAAAGGTCAGGGACCGCTGGTATAGATGTACCTACTCGATAACAGACTAATACATGTTTCTGCAAGGGATTATTATTTATTCAAGCTACATATATTGTTCATTGCGGTGTAATAAAAAAAAAACTTTTAATTTCATAGGTAGAGAAACTCTGCTGTTTGGACTTTACTAAATTATTTTTAAGATCCCGCTGGCCACCTAAAACAGCTTGGTGGGCAGCATTTGTATGCACTAGGGGAAAAGGAGTGGTGTGTGTACGGTACAGAGGAGTGTCATCTGAGGTCACTGAGCTGTGCACTGCAGCAGCAGCTTTTAAATAAGATTTTAAAGCTTTAAAAATGATCACTCTAAACAGAACAGGTAACTGCAAAAGATTTTGTGTTTCTGTCTGGACAAACCAGACATGGGGAGTTTCTAGCTCTGCAACGCCTCAAATAGCCTCCAGGGACACACTTTTAGATTAGGACCCACGATTTTAGAAAACAGTCTTGGGAGGTTACGCATGAATCATGAATTGTTTTTCTCAGTTATCTTGTTGCCTATAACCTGTGGTTATAGTACTATAGCTGACATAATAAGACATAATTAGCACCTTGTGTCGTTCCTCCAGCATGGGCATGGGTGTGTCATTGTCAGAGCGAAGGACATGTTTGAGTTTCTCCGCGGTGATCTGAGAGAAAAACTTTGGATCAGTGATAGGAATACCTGTGAAGTGAAGAGAAAAAAACAGGTCTCTGTTGGAACAGGAACCAGAGTGGAGCCAGACACCCAGTGATACCAAGCTATAAAGTGGTCTCTCCTGCATTGATGTAGTGCATATCGCCACTGTAGCAGTTTTTTTTTTTTTTTTTTTTACAGATGACGTTCAAAAGACATAATTTGTTCTGATCTGATCTGGTCCTGTCAAACCTCACCATCCACTACAACAAAGCAACATGTGCTATTCCAAGTCCACAGTAAAAGTTCCATTGTATAGAAGACATCAGTGATTCATTCCAGAGTGGTTCATGCTAATTATAAAAGATGCTCTGGCACATGCAGAGCTGCAAGCAATTTCCTGACAGTCAAAGTTCATGAAAAGGGCATGAAATCATCATGTACTGTTAGTGCAAATGCAGAGGCATACTGATTAGAATAAAAATTTAAAAGAAAAAAACAAAACAAACAATACATTCATTCAATATTAACATTTTCCAGGAAATGTGTATCCTTTAAAAAGGAATTAAGTCCTTATAAGATTACAAAGAAAAGTTCAATTATACACTTCTAACATTAATGTCAACTATTCTGTTACTCGAAATATGTGCAGTAGTTATTAAGAGACAGGTCACCTTTCTGAGTAGATTTGTGGAAAATCTGGTAAACAAAGAGCTCTGGTAGATTGCTGTAAATATGTTTGCTTTTTATGGAACATGTAGTCACAATTATAAACTATATTAAAAAATATATAAAGGCTACCAATTAAAAAGTGAAGACATCTAAAATAGAAATATTTTAACAAGACTTAAAATGTAGAATTCTATTTAGAGAAAGAAATGAAGCACAACACATGAAACAATACCCAGTATAATTAAAAAAATGTTAACAGAGGTTAAAAAGGTAAAAAGAGACCTTGCGTCCTAAAAAGTACTTTCATCATCTGTTTTTTGTTTACTCCAAATGATTACTTTTGCTTGTACACATCTGTTAAACATGGTCAGTGATCAAAATACTTTACAAGCTTCTTTAAGTACCAAGTATTTAACAACCTCTAAATATGAATATCATGTTTACCATTGTTTCCTTAGAGCTATACTGTATGTAGACTGACCTTCATCCATGGCCCTGGTGACTGCAGCACAAAGGGTCATGTAACCTGTGTATGTGGTCCCTCTGTGTGTCACCTCACACTGCTGAGCTTCATTCTCTGGCCAGAAGGAGAAATTCATAGTGTCAACCACAAACACCCAGTTCAAGGCCTGCAAAGTTCAAAAAAAAAAAAAAAAAAATCCAAAACATGTGTTATTCAAGTGTCAGTCAGTATCAGTGAGGAAAAAACCCTTCCAATTATTCACTGTTAATTTATCCTGTTTGCAAATTGACTTTGGGATAAATATATAGACAAATACATTGATTGCACATGTTGAATTCTGTCTATGCTTCAATGTTGCATTAATAATAAATAAAAATTATTAGATTTATTTACATTTGCCACACTAGTATTTATTTTAACTTATCTTCATTAACTTAACTTATCTTTATTTGTCATTGTGACACAGCACAGCACACCATGCACAACGAAATTTATCCTCTGCATTTAACCCATCACCAAGTGAACAGTGGGCAGCCGTGGGGAGCAGTGCTTGAGGACAGTGCATCTCAGTGGCAGTTGGTGGATTCGAACCTGGGGCCTTCCGGACCGAAGTCCGCTTCCTTTACCACTAGGCCACCACCACCTTATTTTATTTATTTGTTTCATTTCAATTAAAAAAGAGGTATTTGTGGACAAACAGCTTAAAAGATTTAAGAATAGATCAGAAACAATAATTGTCATAAAATAAAAAAAGATATATCCAATTGGAAAAATAATGGTAATTTGTATTTGATGAGAAGACTGATTTAAAGAAATAAACATAATTGGCCGCCAGCACATTACAGTAAAGGGGAAAATACAGAGTACGTTGACCGTCGCACACCAGAAAACAATATAATTCTATGGCATCCTGTTTGTATTTGCACACATGAATACAAATACAGACATGAGTCTTGAGGTTAACAATCCCCTTTCACCCAAACTAGTCCACACCACTGCAGATTGCCTGCTTCTCACTAACCATATATTTGTAGCATGCATTTACAAGGTCATGAGTGAATCTAATCCTTTAAAAATGTGTCCAGAAGAAGAGAACGAATGCATGAATTTTGAAACACTACTGATAATAATAATTTATCATTCTGAGTGGCCCCGTGATGCCACAACTCCCCTCATCTGAAGTGGGTTCTGGAGCCAATAGGTTTGCCTTTTTCCAGCCACTGGCAGTGAGATCGTCACTGTGTCGCAGAGAGAACAGCATCTCTGCCACCTTCTGAACTCCATCCTCCTCCACAAACACGTCCTGACTGCGCTCTGCTACGAAGCGGCCAGACTCACGTGGAAGCAGAGGTGTTTCCATAACACTATGGAACAGAAGTACTCTTGAAGGAATACACACACTTGGACATAATCATATTCAATATTTGCTGCCAGAGGATTTAAACACCTACAGGATGCAAAATAGATTTAGTCACAGACACGCCGACTGCAGACCAGGAACATGTTCACATTTACAAGTTTACATTACATATTTTGGTATCTATGTTAAAGTTGCATTTAAGCAGAACATAGCTATTTTGGTGACTTTAGCTATTGCTAATTGGGGCTACACCTTTTCAATTATTAAGACAATAACTTAAGGGTTTTTTCCATTTTCAGGGGAACTTT